GAATGCCCCTTCTTGGGATTTATATGCAAGCCAGCTTTTGACTCGATACGCCAAATCTCTAATCTCTGCCTTCAGGGGATTTGCAGAGCCCCACTGGCTGTGACATGGCAAACGCTGTCTCTGGCTCCAGAAAAAATAAGGGGCTCAAAGACGTTGGCCTCGAGTGGTACCGGCGGTGCTGTGCAAAGCAGCACCCAGCTCCGTAGGCAAATCCCAACACTTGTGTTTAAACGAGGGATAATGATGGTGGGAAATTCAGGAGCAGTTAAGGGGCCAGAAACCTGGCACGTTACCAAAGGTGCCAGGAGCGCTCTATTTACGGGAGGAGGAGGAGGAGGAGGAAGGGCAGCAGCAGGGCTCCCAGTTCACCCGAAGGAAACGCGAGCCTGGCTGCGTAGCACAGTGTAACGCAAGATCTAATGACTGGGATTTGAAGCAAAAACTCAACCAAATGAGAAGTTAGGCCTTTTTGATTAGGAAGAGTAATTGACGATTACAGCAATTTCCTAAAGATGTGGTGGATTTGCTACTGCTAGAAACGTTTGTGTGAGTTCGGTATTTCTCTACAAGACACGCTAAACTTTCTGTCCTTGCCATCCATGCCCATATGAAATTCCCTCTTTGGATTCATGGACCATGGAGGAGCCCTTCCATGCCCACCAGTCCCCAAAGCCCGCAGCAGCATCCCTTACCACGTGTCTTTTCCACCCAAACCCACTTACCAGTTTGCTTCCTGCCAAGGCACCGCAACTTTTTCCCTGTCCAGAAGCCGGGGTCAGCTTGGGCAATCGCCACTCTCGCCCCTCAGAGGCAGGACGGCATGAAATCCTCTGTGGGTACCCGTGCGGCAGTTGTGTCCTCGGGACGTACTCGCCGGGGTGGTGCTGGGGCATGGGGTCCATGTGCATCATCACCAGCTCTTCCTCTGCTGGCCCTGGCCCCGGCAGGGGTGATTTTGGCCCAAGGACTGATTCCGGAAAGCTTGTTGCAGCCCCAGCTTTCCCATAGGGAAAGTATCCTGTGGGACAGACACTGAATTGAGGGAAAGGAGCGGCCGAACGAGGATGAGGGATTCCCATCGCGCTGGACCTCAGCCCCACACGCCCCTCCGGAGCGAAGGAAAGGAGCCTTGAGGTCAACAGCATCCCACCGGCTGTGAGTGCATCCTGCGAGTGCCATCAGCCCCATCCAGTTATGGTTCAATAATTTAAAACTTATTCTACGTGACGCCTAAATTGTAAAATATCATCAGCCAAGATATAAAGATGAAGGGGGGAAAAAAACCCATAAGCTTTTCTCCACGTGGCTGTGTCAGCACACCCCGAACACAGATGACCGCCCACATCCAGTGAGGAATTCTTGCACTGGCTTCATCGCTGCTCACTGAGGAAAAGGCCTGCTGTAACACTGGCTGGAAAAAAAATTATCTTAAATCCAGTGTATGCTAAATATCCCCACCGTGAACCAGGGATGGAGCCCTGCAGCTTGAGCCTCCACAGGGACAGCTGAGCTTGGCAACTTTTGTCTGACTTTCCCTTAAAAACATCCCGTGACGTGGCTCCCCAGGCTGCCCCGGCTCCCTGCGACACCTCCAGCCTGGGCACCGCCTCGTGCTCTGTGCCAGGAGCGAAGCCAACTTCTCCCTCCTCGGTGGTTGTGGAGGAAGATCGCTCTTACACCCCGCAACAGCCTTCTCCTTATTGGAAAACTGCTTCTGTGTCAATCTTGTCCCTTTTAAACAAACCAAATTCCTTCCATTTTTGTTCTCGTAGGAAATTCTTTTTTTTTCCCCAGCCCTCTGGTCATCACTTTCTCCCAACCTCCCCGTGTTTCACGGACATCTGTATCGCAGCGCAAATCCCCGCGGAAGAGACACCGTCTTCCAGCAAAGGCTTCATGTGCAGAAAGTCCCAGGGAACAACTACCTGTCCCAGCTCAAACAGAGCGGTGCAAAATTTAGCCCTTTCTGCAAGAGTGTAAGACTTCTGATGAGCATTTAGGTTTGCAATCTGCTTAAAATTATATTATAAAGCATATATACTGTATATAACTTCATGAAGTATACTTACTCCATATGGCTGTATTATTTCGTTGCTAGCCTAGACAGCATTTGATAAAGGCAAATACTTGATGAAAGTGATTTTTCAATCTGATGTGAAAATTTTAAAGCAGGTTTGTCTTAATATTTCTTTCATTATTAATGAAAACATTACATCTACGCTTTGGTTTGCAGGATGGAAAGAAAAGGAAAAATGAAGTTGTTCTGTACTTGAGAAATCCACATTAGCTTTTTTTATTACCCTGCGTTTTGCAAACTCATTGATTCAGCACCAAATTAAATGCCAGGAGAGCACTGTGCGTTTGATTTGAGCAAACAGCCACACGGTTTCAGCTCAGGTTCCCAGGGAGCTGGTGCCTTCACACTTGGCCTGTGCCATAACCTCAATGCCAACACGGCAATCCCTGGGCATCCAGCATAACCTTGGTTGATATCCTCAACCAGCAGAGCCTGACCTCACTTCCAGGAGAAATGCAACATGGGATTCAACTGATCGAAAACAGCAACATACTTGGTGCCCATCGACAAGGCTCTATCAAAAACAGACCTTGAGAAAAAGTCTTCAGACTGGGTTTGCTAAAGGCAACCACGCAGATCCAACACTGCTATGAGCTCTTTGATCTCCATCATGTAAAATACCCAGGAGGGTGCTGGGCAGTACTAATGGAGTTTGCAGGGAAGGGTTTAAGGGATCACCCACTGACAGCGCGACAGCAGGAGCTGTCGATGAAGAATTTTCAGCACAGCAAGGTGCTCTCTGTGGCCACGTTCTTCAGCATTTCACCAATGAGCAGCAAACATGAGCTCCCAGCTGCAAACGCTGGTGGGTGACTTAAAGGTTGGTGAGGAAAGAATGAGAACAGGATAATGAGAGAGAGCAGCTAGGTCAACTGGTTAGTTAGGTCCATCCACGCTTTAGTCCAAGGATATGCAGATGTAAACATCCAGGAGTGAAGCCTGTAAACACCACCTTGCGTAGTGGAGACCTGCACCCTAGAAACATGGCTGGGAAGAACAGAAATGCCAAAAGTTTGCAAGAAGCTACATAGCATGAGTTCCCAGCGTGAAATAGGAAAGCATCACTTCCGTGTGGCCATCCCCAGGGAAATGAAGACCCAGATCCCACCTGGGCACGTAGCCCCTGCATTCAGCCGGGAGAGGACTCGCTCCCGCTGAACAGGGAGCCCACAGCAGCTACGGCTTAGGCATGTGGTACGGCACGTGGCAACTGAGTCTCCAAAGGATGGCACGTCCCTGAGATGGGTGGATCGGGATCACGGGGCAGCTGCTGCTGCGGCCTGATTTGGGCTGGCTCAGCAAGGACCAGGTGCTTTGCCCAGAAGGGCCGGGACTTGGTAGGAGGCTCCTGAAAATGCCCAGCGTTGGGAATCTCCACGAGCACGTTGCGTGGATCGGGATCACGGGGCAGCTGCTGCTGTGGCCTGATTTGGGCCGGCTCAGCAAGGACCAGGCGCTTTGCCCAGAAGGGCCGGGACTCGGTAGGAGGCTCCTGCAAATGCCCAGCGTTGGGAATCTCCATGAGCACGTCACGGTGTCTGAGGGAGGAGGTGGGACAGAAGTGGGGAAGCCGGGAAGGGAAAGGGACACAAGCCCTTCTGCTGAGCTGAGGTAGGAGCAACAGGATGCAAAATGAACCACAAGCGGCGAGTAAGAGCTCTGAGCACAACGTGCTCTGCACCGGGGGGGTCAGCCGGGAAAGGGTGGGAGGTGGCAGAGCCATCCTGCCCCAGAGAGACGGATTTTAGCCTGTGGAATTCTGCTGGTTTTGGCTGGGATAGAGTTAATTTTCTTCATACTAGCTGGTCTGAGGCTCCGGTTTGGGTTTGTGCTGAAAACAGTGTTAATAACAGAGGGATGTTTTGGTTACTGCTGAGCAGTGCTCACACAGGGTCAAGGCCGTTTCTGCTCCTCAACCCACCCCACCAGCGAGGGGGCCAGGGTGCACGAGACGGGAGGGGACGCAGCCGGGACAGCTGACCCCCACTGCCCGGGGGGATATTCCAGACCATCGCCCTCAGCAATAAAATTAGGGAGGAGGTTGGGGGGCAGGGTCGCTGCTCAGGTACTGGCTGGGCATGGGTCGGTTGGTGGTAAACAACTGTTTTCATTTGCATCCCTCGTCTTTCTTGGGTTTTATTTCTCTCTTTCTGTTATTTTCCTTTTCATTACAATTTATTGTTATTGTTACTTATTTTTATTTCAATTATTAAGCTGTCTTTATCTCAACCCACGAGTTTCCCCACTTTCACCCTTCCAATTCTCTCCCGATCCCGCTGCGGGGGAGCGAGGGAGGGGCTTAGTTGCCGGCCAGGGTTAAACCACAACAGGAACATGGAGAAATTGGGGAGCGAGTTCATGATATGCCATAAAACCATTTATCTTCCTCTAACTGAAGACAACCTGGGAACTAAAATTCTCCTCTCCACCGCACGCCTCCGTGAGAAGCCCCATGCTCATCAGCTGAGGCCGAGAGCTCCAGCTCCGCACGGGCGCTGCTCTGCGGGCGTCTGTGCTCCTGCGCCGGAGCTACGGACGCTCCGCGGAAAACCCCATTTCACCCCAGGAGCCTACGGGGGCCGGGCACAGCCCCCACCGCTCCCCATGGACCCGGCGCTCGTTAGCAGAGCCCGTTCTGGCGAAGGGACGGGGCCCGGGGCCGGCTCACCTGGACGCCCAGGGAGGTAACGCTGGACACCGTGCTTCGTC